TAATCACCAAGGCTGTAACAAGCGTTGCCAAGACAGCCATAGGCACGTCCCTCTGCAGCTCTGTCCCCGACTTTCTCGGAAATTTCAAGGAAGCGTTCACTGTAGTCCATGGCTTTTTCGAAATCACCCAGATTGTAATAGTCGTTGCCAAGATTGCCATAGGCACATCCTTGGCCAGCTTGATCCCTCAAGTCTATTGCAATTTTTAGATCAAGTTGATGATATTCCACAGCTTTTTTGAAATCACTAAGTTTGTAATAAGCGTTGCCAAGCGTTGTCGCGCATTTCTTTCGCAATTTTGAGGCGCTCTTCATGGTATTGTACTGCTTTTTTGAAATCGCCATGACTGGTAAAGATGTTGCCAAGATTGCCATAAGCACGCCCTTCTCCAGCCCTGTCTCCCAATTCCTTGGCAATTTCAAGGTATTGCTCAATATAGTGAGTGGCATTTGTGAAATCACCGAGACTGAGCATTGCCAATATTGCAATATGAGCCTCCTTCTGTAGCTTTTTCTCCTAGTTCTTTGGCAATTTTCAGATGGCATTTATGGTAGTCTATGGCCTCTCTGAACCTGCTGAGATTGCGATAAGCAGTTCCAAGATTGCCGTACGCTCTTCCTTCTCCTGCCCTGTCTCCCACTTCCTTGGCAATTTTGAGGCGCTCTTCATAATAGTCAACCGCTTTGTGGAAATTGCCGAGACCGAAATAGGCGTTCCCAAGGTTGCCGTATGCACCACCTTCTCCAGCCCTGTCTCCCACTTCTTAAGCAATATTAAGATCGAGCTCATGGTAGGTTATTGCTGTGTTATAATCACCACAACTCTGGTAAACATTGCCAATGTTACTATACGCACGTGCTTCTCCATCTCTGTCTCCCACTTCTTGAGAAATGTTAAGATAAAGGTTNTTTGTTGAAATCGCCATGACTAAAAGAGATGTTGCCAAGATTGCCATAAGCACGTCCTTCTCCAGCCCTGTCTCCCAATTCCTTGGCAATTTTAAGGTATTGCTCAATATAGTGTGTGGCATTTGTGAAATCACCGAGACTGTAATAAGCATTGCCAATATTGCAATATGAGCCTCCTTCTGCAGCTTTTTCTCCTAGTTCTTTGGCAATTTTCAGATGACATGTATGGTAGTCTATGGCCTCTCTGAACCTGCTGAGATTGCGATAAGCAGTTCCAAGATTACTGTATGCTCTTCCTTCTCCTGCTCTGTCTCCAACTTCCTTGGCAATTTTAAGGCGCTCTTCATAATAGTCAACCGCTTTGTGGAAATTGCCAAGGCCGAGATAGGCGTTTCCAAGGTTGCCGTATGCACCACCTTCTCCAGCTCTGTCTCCGACTTCTTTAGCAATATTTAGATCAAGCTTATGGTAGGTTATTGCTGTGTTATAATCACCACAACTCTGGTAAACATTGCCAATGTTACTATACGCACGTGCTTCTCCATCTCTGTCTCCCACTTCTTGAGAAATGTTAAGATAAAGGTTATAGTGGTATATAGCAGCTCTTTTGTCACCGATGCGTCTATAAACAGTGCCAAGATCACCATGCGCACGCCCTTCTTCGGCTCTGTTGCCCATTTCTTTGGCGTTTTCTACACTGAGCTTAAGGTGCTCTACAGCTTCCTCATATGAAGAAAGCACACGACTGCTCTTCCCCCCTGTACTTGGAGAAGTTCCACGCTGGGGTGCGTTGGACTCGACTGGCTTTTGTTTACCACTTTCCTGTAAAAAGAAGGAGGAATACAGTTCATAACAGATCGGATTTTTCAGGTCTGTTCGCACAAGGGCAACAAGACGAGCTCCCAAGAAAAAGAAAATACCACTGACTTTTATTATTAAATAGAAACTTCATATTTATTTTCACTGATTAAAGGAGTTAGGTCACAGTTTGCGCATCTTGAAAATTTGGGCTAAATTTTTCAAGTTCGTCGTTTGTAATCCGTGTCGACCTTCTCCATCCTTAACCATCCTTGTTCCTTTTTGGTTTATTATTATCTGTTTGATACTTTTCTGTCTCATTTAACTACTATTTCCAGGTTTCCTTCTATTGATAGGTAATTTTGTACGTGTACGTGTACACTTCTAAAATGCACTTTTTGAAGACGCGAAAAACAGGTAAAATAGCCATGGAACGTCAGCCAACGTACAATTCTCAAACAGTCTCGAACTCGTGGTTTTAAAAGCGAATAACTGTACAAGGGAGACGTAACATGATTAAAAAGCTGATTTCTTTAATACAGCGGACTTTACCTTGCCTTTCACCGTCTGCATTTGTGACTTGTTCAAATCATTTAGGTCCTTTTGCTTTAATCCATCAACAGACTTGGCCCTCAACTCTAACAACTCTTTGTTTTTCTTGTCAATCTTCTTTCAGTTAAGTGTGGCTTGAACAAAGCTTCACGTCTATTTTCCAACTTTTCTCGTTAATTCATGTAAAAACATTTNTTGCATCCTTAACCATCCTTGTTCCTTTTTGGTTTATTATTATCTGTTTGGTGCTTTTCTATATCTCATTAAGCTACTACTTCCCAGGTTTCCTGCTACTGAAAGGTAATTTTGTACGTGTATGTGTACATTTCTTAAATGCGCTTTTTGAAAAACAGGTAAAATGACCATGGAACGTCAGCCAACGTACAATCCTGAAGCAAACAGTCTCAAACTCGTGGTTTTAATAGCGAATACCTGTACAATGAAGATGTAACATAAGAATAAAAAGTTTATTTCTTTAATACAGTGGACTTTACCTTGCCTTTCACCGTTTGCGTTTGTGACTTGTTCAAATCATTCAGGTCATTTTGCTTTACACCATCAACAGACTTGGCCCTCAACTCTAACAACCCTTTGTTTTTCTTGTCAATCTTCTTTCAGTTAAGTGTGGCTTGAACAAAACTTCACGTCTATTTTCCAACTTTTCTCGTTAATTCATGTAAAAACATTTACCTTTTTAACCAAGCTTTACGAATTTACATCCGGTTAGAGACAACCCAGTCGAGTCCGTTCCCAGAACACCCCTCGCACGACTTGATTTTATCTCGCTCCCGAGCTCTTGATACGATTGAATGGGAGGGAGAGGAAACATGTCTCATAAGTAAATGTTATGGAAAGGGCTCAAAAGGAAATGCGGTGTTAAGGTCTCCTCAAAATCCAGTGAAAATTAGGATTAACAAAAAAAAACAAGCAGAGAAAAACTTTTTAGGGTTGTTTAAGCCCAGGTTTAAATCACGCTTCACTATACGTAACTTCTGATCTCTCAAATTCAGCCGAATATCACTTTTATTGATATCTAGAGCCCGTGAGACTCCCATATAAAAAGGAGTGGAGTGCTCGTCGAAAATTTTCAAAAGAACCCCTAAGAGGTACCAAAATCCTGTTTTGTGGGCGTGGCTTGAATTTTTTTTCATGCCTAATAGATATCAATTCTAAAACAAAACATTAT